GGGGACCGGACCCCCCGGGACCAGTGGCGAAGCTCCCCATTCCCCATCCCGCCCCGTTCCCCCCGGTGCCCCGGGGGGTGATGAGCCTCGTTGGCCCCTGCGGGTCCTGCCCCTTGGAGTCCCGCACCCCCCGCGCTGCGGGTCCGTGCTGGGGTCTCGGTGCGGTGGGGCTGGACCCCCTGCGGCCTCTCGGCAGAGGGTTTCCCCCCTTGCGGGTCCTGGTCTTCATCTCCGGGCGGTTCCCGGTCTCCGGGAAAGCTGGAGCCGGGAAGGTGCCTCCCTGGGGATGCACGAGGTGCAGCCGGACCCGCGTTCCAGCCGGAGGCGGGAGGGCTTTAATCCCACCCACTGTTCGGTTTCTGAGGCCCTAATGAGACTGGGCAGCGCTTGATGAGCTGAGAGCTGATGATGTTGCCACGTGGGTGGTGTCTCCAGCCTTTCCCCAGCGCCCGCAGGAGCCTGAGGAGATGCTGGTAGCAGCAAGTTGGCTGTTGTGGTGGGGGAGGGTGTATGGTGTGGTGGGGCATGGTGTGGTGGGACGTGGTGTGGTGGGACATGGTGTGGTGGGGCATGGTGTGGTGGGGCACTTCGTGCTCCAACCCCATTGCAGCACCAGCCCCTGCTGCTGTGTCTGTGCTTTCACAGCCCTCTGCAGGGCTCCTCCTCTGCAGGGGAGCTCTTGGTGCCCTCCTGCTCCACCAAAGTTGCTGCGTTTATGTGAGCAGGGTAATTAAAGGGAGTGCTTTGGATGTGCAGTGTTGGAAGTCTCCTCAGGTGTCCTCAGGCCTTTGTTTCTGCACCTGCTGAGGCCTTGCAGGTGCTTGATGAGGCTGGTACTCCTGAAGCTGGGAGGTTGGGAACTCCTTGGCCAGACGAGCACCAACCTCATCTCCCTCCTCAGACGTGGACCAACAGTATCAACCAGGCCAATAAGATGGCCCTGCTGGCCTGGGAAAAAGAAACTGGCATCCACCTGGTGCAGATCAACGGGCAGAGGAGATATGGTGGCCCCCCCCCAGGTAGGTGAGGGCACCTTGGCACCCTGGTCCCCTGGGAGCACGGCCTGTCGGGTGCCCATGACATCCTTGTTAGGAAACTCAGGAAGAGGGGGCTTGATGAATGAGCAGGGGGATGGATGGAGAGCTGGTGTGTGACAGAGCTCAGAGGGTGGTGATCAATGGCTCAGGGTCGAGTTGGAGGCCAGAAACCAGTGATGTAGCCCAGGGATTGATACTTGGTCTGGTCTTGTTCAGTGTGTTCACCAGTGACCTGGATGAGGGGACAGGGTGTGACCTCAACAGGTTTGCTGATGATACCAGCCTGGGAGGGCTGGTGACACTCCAGAGGCCTGTGCTGCCATTCACTGTGATCTGGACGGGCCGGAGAGGTGGGCAGAGAAAAACCTCCTGAGGTTCAATAAGAGCAAGTGTAGGGTCCTGCACCTGGGAAGGAAGAACCCCAAGCACATCAGTACAGGGTAGGGGTGGACCTGCTGGAAAGTAGTTCAGAGGAGAAGGGTTTGGCAGTCCTGATAGACAGTAAATGATCCTTGAGCCAGGAATGTGCCCTTGCTGCCAAGAAGGCCAGTGGAATCCTGGGGTGCATAAAGAAGAGCGTGGCCAGTAGGTCCAGGGAGGTCATTCTCCCCCTCTGCTCTGCCCTGGTGAGGCCACAGCTGGAGAACTGGGACCAGTTCTGGGCTCCACAGTTCAAGAGAGACAGGGAACTGCTGGAGACAGTCCAGAGGAGGGTGATGAAGATGACTGGGGGGTTGGAGCATCTCCCTGATGAGGAAAGGCTGAAAGAACTGGGACTGTTCAGCCTGGAGAAGAGAAGGCTGAGGGGAGACCTTACCAATGTGTGTAGGTGTCTGAAGGGTGGGTGCAAGGAGGATGGACACAGGCTCTTCTCAGCAGTGCCCAGCGTCAGAATGAGGGGCAACGGGTACAAGTTGGAACATGGGAAGTTCCATTGAAATAGGAGGAAGAGCTAATTTACAGCGGGGGTGAGAGAGCCCTGGGACGGGCTGCCCAGGGAGCTGCGGAGTCTCCTGCTCTGGAGCTGCCGGGGACCCTCCCGGCCGCAGCCCTGCGGGGTGTGTGCTCTGGGTGGTCGCGGGGGGCTGGACTGGAGGGTCCCTGGAGGTCTCAGGGCCTGGCTCTGTGCCTGCAGACTGGGTGGGCGACCCCCCTCCGGCCGGCACCGAGGTGTTCATCGGGAAGCTGCCGCAGGACGTGTACGAGAACGTGCTGATCCCGCTGTTCCAGAGCGTGGGCAGGCTCTACGAGTTCCGCCTCATGATGACCTTCAGCGGCCTCAACCGCGGCTTCGCCTACGCCACGTACGGCGACCCGCGCGGCGCCCG